GGCCCACTGTTTATACAAATTCAGTTGACTTAATCTGCCTAAACAATAAAAAAAATTCAGTAGTATATGTTAAATTGTTGCCTGATTGTATGTTTGTTTCCATTTTTGTATTGATTTATGTTGAAACGCTAAATGGGGCGTAGCACGCTATAGCTGCGTTTCATAGCTTTTGGCCGAGCCACCGCTAAGAGACGTGGGGTGCTATTTAAAACTTTTGTTTTTAGAGATATTTTACTAGGAACATTGCTGGTACAATCTTATTATATGGTTGTTATTTGTAGTTTTCATCTGCTGTTCACACAGGCACGAGCATGGAAATTAATATCATAGAATAAGGGCATCTCCAGCCATTGGCCCCCCAGGAGGGGCCAAAAAATCGCCCCCTGGGGGCGCGCCGGCGCTTAACCGCGCACTGGAGGCGTGATGCCCCCCAATCGCGGCGCCTACGTTTTTTTTAAAAATTCAAATACGGCGTAAACACGACTGAAATTTGACACAAACATCGGCGAGTTCGTTCAAACTTAAACGTATTTTACAAAAGAAGAAAAAAACTTCCGCGGGCTACCCCGCCGTCTCCCTCGCCGCCCGCCGCGCCACCTACATGCCGAGGAGGCGGTAGAACCGCGTGTAGTCGTCGTCGTCGTCGCCGGCCCCGCCTGCGCCTCCGCCGTCCCTGCTGCATCCCTCCCCCGGTTGGCGCGGCGGGTTGGACGGTCCGGGGGCGTCGTCGTCGTCGTCGCTGTCGAGGACCACGACGCCGTGCTCGTCCTCGCGCCCACGCTTGCGGGCGGCGATCTCCTCCAGGGCCCGGCGCTGCCGGACCATCTCGTCGCGGAGGTAGTCGTCCCGCGCCCACCGCAGGGCATCCTCGTCGGAGATGCCGCGTCGGGCTATCTCCTCGTACTCCGCGGGGAGGCCGCGCTCCGGCTTGGGCTTGACGAGGACGAAGCGGCCGGTTGGCGGGGAGGCGTTGGCGTCGATGCGGACGCCGGAGCTGCGCGTGCGGGCACTGACCGGCGTGCCCTGGGGCTCCGGCTTGGCGGGGCGGAGGCAGGGCGAGCCACCGGACGATGAGGAGGACCCCCCGGTCTCCATGCGCCTCGGGGTCCAGGAGCTTCCCCGACGGCGTGAGAAGGATGGGGGATCGGGGTACTCGAGGCGCGGCGTGTTGCCGCCCTCGATGTACTCAAGGACGGCCTCCAACGTGCGCCCGGGCACGCCCCACCACCGGCGCCGGCCATTGGAGTTGAGCCTGCCGGAGGGCACGACGCCGTTGGTGGCCTCGAGCTGCTCGGCATGACGGCGGCGGAAGTACGACTCCCAGAAAGGGCTGTCGGGGACGTACCGTGGCCCCTCCCTCGCCGCCCGCGGCAGGGACGCGCGGATGCGTGTGATCTCTGCATAGGGATGGCACCCGCAGGGTATGGGTACGGGTGGAGCTATCCCATACCCTTACCCATCCGCCCTGAGTTTACCCATCACCCATACCCATACCCGTCAAGGGTACAATTTTTTTCCATACCCGTCACCCGACAGGGTATATGGGTACCCACGAGTAAAAATACCCGCGTTTACAACACATCAATTGAGTAGAAAATAGTTGTAAAAAGCAATATATAATCATAAATTATTAATAGCAACACATTTTAAACAACAATTTACAACAACATATTGTAACAACAACATATTCTCATAAACAAAAATACTTGCCTATAAAGTGACATATAAAAATGTTAAACAACAACACATATGAATACACTTTAAGTTCACCAAATCATGAAAAATTATAGAGATAATTTGAATACACACCTAGCGTGATTAGGAGGGGAAATGAACACATTGGGATATTAAGGAAACCCACCTGTCAACATTTTAGATGGGTACATGGGTACGCGGGCATGGGTTATACGATCCCATACCCGTACCCTCTCTACCCGATGGGTATGATATTTTTTTCCATTTAAGTACCCATGGGTATTTTTTTGTCCCATACCCTTACCCTAATAGGGTTTTTACCCACAGGGTACGCGGGTAATGGGTACCCATTGCCATCCCTATCTCCGCACGCTGCGCCGCCCCGATGGGTGGTGGTGGCACCGGCACGCCGCCGGCGCTGATCCTCCACGCGCCGGGCACCCGCATGTCCGGCGGGACCGGGTACCAGGCCTCGTAAAGGAGGCGAGCCTCGTCTTCGTGGAGATGGCGGCGGCCGAAGCCGTTCGCCGCCGCGCCGTCACCAGGGAAGCGCTCGGCCATGGGTGAGAGAGGAGAGGGAGGAACGACGAGAGAGAGGAGAGGGAGGAACGACGACGGCGAGAGAGAGAGGAGAGGGAGGGACGGCGGCGAGAGAGTGTGATCGCCGAGCACGCTGGTGCGCGTCTTATATAGGCCGAGACGCCGCCCGTACGCGTGGCCGCCATGTGTACGCGTGGCGGGCGAGGGAGGGCGAGGGACGCGCGCCGTCCGGCCTTCACTGCGCCACCCGTGAGGCATCAATGGCGCAGGCTGACCGGCGCGGCAGCGCGGCATCTTTGGCATTGATTCGCCGCGGGAAACAAGGCGATGAGGACGACGAAGGGGCGAGAAGAGAGCCGTGTCGCTGACGCGGCGGGCCCGCGGCTTTTTCGCGCCAAAAAAGTTCGCCCGGCGTCCCCGGACGCCCCCCAGCGTGCCGGGTTCGGCCTGGGTCCGCCGGCGCTGTTTTCGGCCCAGGCCGGCGAAAATCGGACTCCTGGGGGCGCGACTAGGCCGATTTTTCAGCGCCAGCGCAAGAAAAACGCCGGGGGAGGTCTTCCTGAGGGTGCGGCTGGAGATGCCCTAAGAAACAATCATGTAGTAGCATCCTTGCTCCAGTACTCAAAGTCTGGAACAGCCAATACATACAGAAGAAATGAAAGAAGGAGAAAAAATGTACTGGAAATTGCCTTTGGAACTCGGCCTCTATGGAGGCCTGTAAATTCAATTTTCAAAGTTCATCAAAATACATATTTTTACATTTCAAAAAATTCTAGAAAAACAGATATATATGAAGGCATAACACACATGTGTGTAAATTTTCGGAGCAAAATACTTTGAGGGCTGTGCAAAAAAGATAAATCCAAGGCTTTTTAACACATGATACTGTTCATCCTCCCAAGCCATAAATTTGTCCTTTTTGTATAGGTCATATTTCAACGCATTTCATCATGAATTTTTACACACATACACATAAGATTCTTGTTTACTTGCACAAATTTTTTTAATATTTTCTTGAAACCAAAAGGTTTGAATTTTGAATTTTTTGAAAAAAGGCCCCCGTGGAGATCGAGAGCCAAACGTCCGTTCTAAAAAATTGTACTCCCTTTTGACATTATGACAGTGTAAAAATCATTTTATATTATGTTACAGAGGTAGTAGGAGAAAACACCCTCAGACTAGTCGCACTTGTAAATAAAAATTCTTTGTTCCGGCCGGGTTCCGCTTCGTGCAAAAGCACCAAATGCTGATGAGTCAGAACAAGGGCCGGCAACACTTCTCACTTACAATTTATACTTTCTTTTACTCGTTCATGTAAAAGCATCTATAATTGTACTTGGTAAATCCGATCCCTCAAAAACACGTGGACATGTCCAGATGCGTCCACGGACAGTGACCGGCCAATCATCAATTTTCCCCTCTCACAATCGGACACCTCAATTAGTATATCTCAAATTTATACAAAGTCATGCAACTACGTAAACGATGCAACCCATACCATGTGAATCAGGACATGCCATCAGACTACTAAAATTTGCCATGTTTTCCCTACATACTAACTATGAAGAAGATCATCCAAGGCTGTCCTTGCCCTTCCCGGCATCCTTGCCGTCCATCTCACAGAATTAGTGGTCGAAAGCAGTATGGATCAAGCCGATCTGCTCTTCGCCGGAGCTGTCTGACCCATCACTCTACTCTTTCCCCTCCTTGAGGGACAGTCCGGCCATGGCACGGATAGCCCGTTTCTGCTCTAGGGCGATGGCGCGCGTGTTCCTTCGCTGCCGCTTTAAGATGCTGGCATGGATGGCTTCCTCCTCTGGGTAGCGCGTGCCGCCGCCTCCGCCATGCCTGTAGCGAGATGGGCCTCGACCACCCTCATCCTCTCCTTCCCACAGTAGGCACACTAGCCCCGGTAGCGCTCACACTCCAACGGACCGGTGATGGGAAAAGGAGATTGAAAGGCTCCCGAGAGGACCGCGATGATCCAGCTCCGGAGGATCCGAGCGCCCAATGCGCCGACACAATGGACTCGCATCGGAAAAATCTCGCCGTCAGTTGGACACAGTCCTCCCGTAAGCGGCGGAGTGCAATGCGGATGGCTATTGCCTCCTCCAACCCGCACGGAACAACACTCCTAGTCGACGGGTTTGGACTGGTCATGGTCAGATCCGTTGCCCGCCATGACTGGAAAGGCCGGAGATCGCCGAACTGGAGCTTTGGTGGGGAGGGGGGAGGGGAGGGGGAGTGCAGTGGAGTGGCTAGGGTTTGGTTCGGGGAACGAATGAGGACGAATATATGTGGGGTCCGGTGGACCAGCATGGGCTGGGTATAACGCGTGGACGCGCCTGGTCACGTCCGGGCCTCCCCATATCCGCCATATATTTGGGCTTGATATGAGGGGGGCCGATCAGCCCAGTATGAGGCATCTGTCTGGGTCGGCTTTTTTTTACCAGGCAATGATCGCGCCGTTTGCCCGAGTGTATGAAGAGGGTTTGAGGTCTCCGGCTGTAGATGCTCTAGGAAGATAAATAGAATCAGTCCTGGACTTGACTTGTTGACGCGTTTTCTTGACCACTAACATGGCACACGTACGTGTCATCTTATCGCTGGTCTCAACGGTCCACATACGTTCCCACGCCGTGCTACTACAGTTCAAGCTCCTGGACTCAATTCACTCCCATCATGCCGATAGATAGACCAGACCAGAAGAGAAGAAAAAGAGGCGAAGAGGAGTTTAGAAGAGGAAAACGGGGAAGTGAGCGACGATGATGGTCCTTCTTCCCCGGCACCGGCGGGACCTGAAGCTTGCAGTAAGTCTGCCGTTGCCAGGTCTGTTGCGCTGCATCCTTGTATTGGTCATAGCCGTGCGCCCCTGCGCCGCATCAAAATTTTCAGATTGTGGGCCCTCCACCTCCTACCCTTCCTCCCGTGTGAAGGACGGCGACGTCTGCATCTTCCAGCTGGAGCTGCCCATTATTGGAGTTCTGCAGAGCTCCTGGGACGCAGGCGTCATAGACGGCGCCCTCCACCTCACCACCGACGACGTCTACCAGCCGCCCGTTGATTACCCACCTGACCCCAAGAGGCGGGCCGGATGTGCCATCCTCCCGGTGGAAGTCATTCTGTGGCAGCCGGTCGGTGAACCATCCGACATCAACTTTAAGTGGCAATGGCCGTGGAGGTACGACGAGCCAAAGCTTGAGGCGTCCTTCAACGCCACATTCACCATGAGCGCCAACACATCACGCGAAGGCGACGGCGGCCTTATGTTCGGGATACTGCCTCCCATTTTGGATGGCTTCCACAGAGCCACATACGCATCCTTGGCCAGGTCTAGGACCACATTCCCCGACGGCCGCCGCGTCGCCGTCGAGGTCAGTCAAGCAGAGTACTACTATTCTCAAGGTACTACCAGCATGTACGTTTCCATCGAGCCGGAGCCGAACACGACGTCCATGGCGATCTACACCGTCTGGATCGATTACAACGCCGCCGCTCACAACCTATCGGTGTATGTGGTCGAGGGCGGCAAGCCCAAACCTGAGGAACCCACGCTTCACATGCCGCTCAACGTCACCGACGTCGTTAGGTCGCCCCAAGGCGCTTCGGGTTACTTCGGTTTATTCGCCTCAAAGAGCAGATTCTTGCCCACTTGTCAGGCGGTGGTCTATAGCTGGAACATCACCATGGAGAAGCTCCCGCCGGAACCCATCATACTCCCGGAACCACCCATGCTCCCTGAACCCAACCATGGTCGTGAACTGCGAAGAGAATTCTTGGCCATACTGCTGACGGTGGTGCTTCCTGTAGCCGTTATCACGGCCATCGTTTTCGTGGCGGCCTGCTACTTCTCGTCGAGGTACAGGGCTCTCAGGACGAGGCTCAAGCTCTCAGAGGTGCTGAGACAGCTCCCCGGGGTGCCCAGGGAGTTCAAGCACGCCACCATCAGGAAGGCGACCCACAACTTCCATGAGATGATGAAGTTGGGGAGAGGCGGTTTCGGCGCCGTGTACAAGGGAACGCTACGGTCAGGGAAGCGCGGCGAAGGGCGAGTCGATGTGGCTGTGAAGAAGTTCACCCGGAAAGATGACCGTGGCTACGAGGACTTCCTCGCCGAGGTCGACATCATCCACCGGCTCCGTCACAAGAACATTGTCCCTCTTCTTGGTATGTCATTACTTAGTCCATGCATGTCTACATCTTATTAGACACTACCAATGTTGACTCTGACTAGTATGTCTTTGGAACTTTGAACCGTCTTTACAAACTTAGTCCTCCTCCTCCTCCTTTGCTTCATAAGATAGAAATATGGTCGAATAGAAAAGCTATAGCAAGTAAGATGACATGTATCTCAAATCATATAAATATGTACAAGAAAGACAAGTCGTTTACTAGTTCATAGTGTGTATGATAAGTGTTTTCCCATTGAGTCCCAACTTCTTTCCAAATATGAAGGATAGGAATCATTCCCATTTATAGTACTCCCTCCTCCATATTAACTGTCGCTGGTTTAATACAGTTTTATACTAAATCAGCAACAATTAATATGCATTGGAGAGAGTTTTTTCTCCCGAGAATACGCCAAAGACGTACCGTATCTTTATAGAAGGGAGCAAATAGATTACAGGAGTCCAACATTCGATGCGAACATCAAATGTGGATACACTCGCATCACACAAAGAGAATTAAGTCTAACTCACAAAACGATCTAATCCTCCACACCTACAGCGGCACGCTCCAATCTTTAATTTCATCAAGAATTTGCACGGTAAGACCAACAGGCGACTTGAACTGCTCTGGTCTGCATCGGAGAGACTAACAAGATGTTATTCCTGTAAAATAAAGGTCTCTAAAGAAGAAATTTCTTACAGAAATTCTATCTTATAGAATTCCTACAAAATTCCTGTAAACCAAATAAGGCCTTAACAATCTCTATTCCTTGGTGGCTTGGTTGATGATGGCAGCAGACGGAAGCCCAGCTGCCCAAGATCACTCTATATATGATTTTTTTTAATTCCTGTTTTTTAATCTGGTGGCGAACTGCTTGTCTTGGAACCTTTTTTGTTGTAAACTGACTATGTACGTGAACATAGATTTCAGCAAAAAAAGTAATGCGTTAAATAGACTATGCACTATGCCTTTTCACGGCAAACTTAGCGTCAATCTATTTTTGGTTGCAAATTTAGATTCCATTTGAACTTCAATTGCGAGCAGGTTTAAATCTATTTAATTTGATTGATACATAGAAGTTACTTCCTCCTTTCTAAATATATGATGTTTTACACTTTGGCACTGGCTCTAGCAAACTTCGCTGAGCATTACATTTGATGCATATATACACAGAAATTGCGAAACGATGTCATGAAAATATCGTTCCCTTCCAATTAACAATTTATTAATTGATCTTATAAATCAAAACAATTTCTTTTAGTTAGGATCCAATGTCAAAAAGTATTATTATGTATAGTTTTGGCCATCATCTACTTTGAAATTTCATACTACTTTTTTATATTTTGTTAATATCATGTTTGCACAACTATACTATGCGTGCCTTGATGCACTGACGTAAAAATTAGTGGTCCAGGTTAGCAACCTGAATATTTGACAAGGTTAAAAACGTCAAGTAAAATGGAACAAAGATAGTATAATTTTATCTAATTTGAACTGTGGTATATATGATGAAAATAGCATAACCAGATTTCTTGTTCGTAATATTTTCATGTTACTCTATTTACAAAAATTGTCATATTTTATCCCTTAACTTCATATATTAGTGCCACTGCTTGCTCCACTTTTTTTTGTCACAATACCCCTAACTTCACATCTGTGACCATACTTGTATTATTATTTTTAAGTACTCAACTACAAATCTGACATTAGATTTTTTTTATCATGGCAAATCAATATTTTTTATGACAATTTATATTTGTTGAGGATAGCAAGTTTAGTTGGCAAGCATGACAAATCCCTTTCAGTTCATTGTTTTGCCAGAAAATTGCCGTGTTTGCAAACTAAATTCTCCATCCTGGCACCAACATAAAATTGCCATTAAAAACGTTTGATTTGTCATGCTTAAAAAAATGAATCAGATTTCAGCATTATCGTTTTTAAAATCTTGTATATAAGAGTACTGTATATGAGTTATGACGTAGCAAATTTCAGGTTGGTCTTACGAGAATGGAGAGCTGCTACTGATCTACGAGTACATGCCCAATGGCAGCGTAGACAAGCACCTGTTCCACGAAAAGCAGCAGCACCGCGGCCACCAACAGCCAGTTCTGCCCTGGGAGAGACGCTACGACATTGTGAAGGACGTCGCCGCCGGTCTGCACTACGTCCACCACGAGTACGAGCGCACGGTGCTCCACCGCGACATCAAGGCCAGCAACATCATGCTCGACTCAGCCTTCCGCGGCTGCCTCGGCGACTTCGGCCTCGCGCGGGTCGTCGGCTTAGACAAGAACTCCTTCACCGACATCGGCGTCGCGGGCACCTGGGGCTTCATCGCGCCGGAGTACCCCGTCAGCCACAAGGCCACCCGGCAGACCGACGTCTACGCGTTCGGGGTGCTGGTCCTCGAGGTCGTCTCCGGCAGGAGGTCGCTCGGCAAAGCGGACGCCGAGTTCCCGCTGCTGGTCGATTGGGTTTGGTGGCTCCATCAAGAGGGGAGGCTGCTGGAAGCCGTTGACGCCGAGCTCCGCTCGTCGGACGCGGGGTTCGACGCCGACGATGCCGCCCGGTTGCTGCTCCTCGGTCTGTCCTGCAGCAACCCGAACCCATCGGACCGGCCGACCCTGGCCAACGTGCTGCAGGTTGTCGCCAAGACGGCGCCGCTGCCGGACGTGCCGCCGGTGAAGCCCGCGTTTGTGTGGCCGCCGGAGGGGGCGTTACTGGACGACGACGTGGATGATGGGTTTGCGGGGACGAGCGGTGATGATTCTCGATACTGGGAGGAGGAGGAGACCATGCCGAGCTTCATGTCGTCAGAGATCACCAAGCGCAGGGCTCGGAATGTTGGTCAGCACAAAGACGCGTGGGAGATAGAGAGTTATGTGTAATCCAATCTGTAGACGATAGGCATCTATTGTTATGTGTAATCCATTGTTACTGGTTTTCTATTTCGGAAACAAACTAATTTCGGACCTCACCGAAATAAATTTCACATATTTCGAAAATTATTTTGGATTTTGAGATTTCAAATGTTACTTAATTTTAATGAATTTTAACATAATTTAGATTTATTTTGAAATCATCTGGAAGCTGTATCGAAATTTTGGGGTTAGAAATATTTTGGACAACACAGAAATATGCGAAATTTCGGAAATTTCACTGAATTTTTGGTGAAATTTTTAACCCTACTTACATTTCCCATTAGCTAGTAGACTGAAAATAAAATTTGCGCCAGTCAACTGACCAGAAAACTATTTCAGTCGATTTGCAGTGGTGCGCACTAATCATGTAGCGATGCAGTCGTGCCGGTGCAGCTGAAAACATTTATGGGCTGCCACTTCCCTGCCTTGGCAAGGCCGCAATCTGCTGCTGGCTGTGTTTCTCGACGCAAGGCGTGCCCAGGCTATGTGAGTTTATGATGTAAATGTTTCTAGAATATCGTAGTTTTTTTTAATTATAATAGTATAAATTGTTGTGAGTTGTTAACTTAATAACTAAAAGAAGAACAAAGGCCAGTTTCCTAAACTTATGGTCATGTTTACCAAGCTCGGCACTCATTTAGGGACAAGTGATGTCCAAGCTTGGGGGGGATGATTTTGCATCACTATTTCTTGCTATAAATTCCTCTTTATTATCGATATTTTGCACATTATAGCCCAATTCTAATGCCCTTTCCTCTCATTGCATATTTACCTGAGGAGGGGAATTAACGGAAAATTGTAGAATAGGAGCAAAATAACGACTAGTGAAGGAAGGCATATTCTTTAGGATCCTTTCCCTCTGGAAGGGGGTATTCGAAGCCATCGACATCACCGACACTTCTATCATGATGGGGATCATCATCAACACCATCACCATCGTCATCCATCTCCACCGAGTTATTTCCTTAAACGTGCAAAACTACTAATGAAAAAATTGAGTGTTAGGGCCGTTCGGGAGCAGAAGGAGTTGTAGTTCAAAAACTTGGAGCGAGCAAACAGCCACTCCGCAGATTCTGGGAGCCGGTGGATTGCCGAACAGGGCCTTAAATACATATAAATTAAAAGGAGAGGCAGAACATGGGTATAAACCATCAATGTGATGGGGAACAGGTTTGCTGACATGCATAGCAATGGACATACAACATCTTTAGTCATCTCTGGAAGCAACCCTGAAGCATGGTAATGCTCAGCTTTATTACCAGCAATGTAAATAAATAACTGCTCTTAACACACTAGTATTTAGAAACAGTAACAAGGGCACAACCAAAAGGGAGAAAAAAAACAGCCGTTGTACCTCCTTGGACCTAGATTCAGAAGGAAAAAATGGAACAAATTCTAGATTCCTAACGTAATAGTATATCAAGCTAAAATATACCGATCTGTACGAAGGAAAAAAGAAGAAGGAACATGTACTTCAGGCCAGCTTATCATTAACAATATGTAGGATCATGCAGACTTCAATCCTAATACTATGTACTCAAAACATAGTGCCGTGCAGTTCCCCAGCAAAGAGTCATAATCCCCGAATCAAATCAACATGATATATGTAGTGGAACAATTATGCTTCTTGTTATGTGGCCTCAGACGTTGGCTAGAAAGGAATAAAAATCAAAATTACTCCTAGCAAAAAAATGGTTAAACATAATTAAACTCTTTTTTCAGACGCAAACAGGAGTAAACTCAGCACACTGAGAAACAGGCAGAAAATAAACTGAAGTTCTAAACATTAACATATATGTAAGTTTTCTACTTAACTTAGAATACTTTGCGGTAGGGCTAGCCATGTAAGCCATGATCTAGTTGACCTGCCGCCCAAACTTTCTACATAAATCCTAAAACAAAGCATCACAAATGAAAATTGTTTCAAAGAAAGAGATGTTTTGTGGTGCTTTGTTTTCATCTCGTCGTTTATCACAGATGAGAACTTCAACATCTAAAGTGCATCACTAATTTCCCCTCCCTACACACATACAACAAATTTTAGAGCTCCGTCGTTCCGACTGGAAAATGTAACCTTCCACCATAGATAAACCAAACCTCTTTGCTTTCTGGCTTTTCCTTCCAATAGAGTACCAACTTGTATAGGGGGTGCTCAATTTTGTCTGCCACTTATCCTATAGTTTGTGGATGTCAAGCTTGCCGCTTGAGTATTCTGGATCTGTTTCTCCTTATAATGGATAAGTGCACCGTGAATATATTTTCTGATGAAACGCAAGCTAAATGGTCGGGGCTCATCACGACACGACCAACATATATTTTCTTTTCTCGTAATTAACTGCCTGGCGCTTTGCAACTTGCATTTCTTGAAAATATACACAACAAAAGAAAAAAAAATACAAGTGGCAACCCAATCAAGTTATAGGGTCGTGGCATTATAACATCAACACCAGAACATAATATAGATAGAACTAAGCATTATTCCAAAAACTAATTAAAATAACAAGTTCAGTGAGCAGAGTGCCTGCAACGTTGGCCAGAGCTGGTTCTCCAAGAAAGAATATGAACACTTCATGTTTGTTCATACCCGCCGAAAAGCAACAAAGGAAACCGCAATACTGTCGTCATGACCAAACATCAACCAAAACCCACACGCAGAGACAGAGAGGGAGAGACCGCTCCGGTCCAGAGCTCAGATCAGATCGGCGACATTCATCGGCATCTCGTCAATCTGCGTGCTGTAGTACTGCTCAATGTCCCTCAGGATGCGGATGTCGTCCTTGCGCACAAAGTTGATCGCCACACCCTGCACATAATTTTTTTTTAATATAGGTCAAGCAACAAGAGTATTAATTGTGCAAATATTTGGGATGCAGAGAGCAAACATTTGTTTCAGATGAGCGAGTCACACGCTACATATTGACTTTTCATAGAGTTTAAACAAAAACAATCCTAGGCAGTCCCATAAGAGGGGTGACTTGAGTTTCGCAGGAGGGGTGGGTGTGTAACTTTACCTTGCGCCCAAAACGCCCAGAGCGACCGATGCGATGGATGTAAAGCTCACGATTATTCGGGAGATCATAATTAATGACAAGAGAGACCTGAACAAAGGCAAATACATTCAGTCAGTAACCAAAATAAGAATCATGCAACAGCATGCTTAAGGGTACCAAGACTTGCCTGCTGAACATCCAGCCCTCGAGCCCAAACATCTGTTGTGATCAGAACACGGGTCGTGCCACTCCTGAACTCACTCATAATCGCATCCCTTTCCTTTTGAGGCATGTCACCATGCATAGCTGATATGGTAAAGTTGTTGGTGCGCATCCTTTCAGTAAGCCAATCCACCTGGCCAAAAGGGAACAACTATCGTTTAGCAAGCTGTGAACAATCAATTATGTCAACTGGACATGGTTAACAAATCTGGACAATATTTCATACACTTTTGAGTCAAAGAAGCACATCGCTGCAGTTTAATAGTGCAACCAACAGCAATCAACTGAGCTATACATTACCTTTCTCTTGGTATTGCAGAAAATGACAGCCTGGGTGATGGTCAGTGTATCATAAAGATCGCACAGCGTATCAAACTTCCATTCCTCCTTCTCAACAGCAACAAAGAATTGTTTGATGCCCTACAAACATGACATGAAAAATGTAAGAAAATGTAAGTGCTAAGTAGGACAAAATGCACTAAAGCAAAACAAGTGGTGACATTTACCTCTAGGGTCAACTCATCACGCTTTACAAGGATCCTGACTGGATCAGTCATGAACTTGCTAGTTATCTCCAAGATGTCATGGGGCAGAGTTGCAGAGATCAAGACAACCTGCAGATGGTTCGAAAATACACAATTAGAAAAGTATGAGATCTCTGCCAGGGAGATGTCTTTATTTCTAGCCATGAGGCTTAGTGCTCATGTTAAGTTTTAACTCTAAAATGCCCGCTTTTCCCATTAACAGTTCCCTGCTTAGAGAATGTTACAAATGCTCAACCAATAACATGCTGAAAAAAAACAAAGAATAACAGAAAGGAACAATAAACTGAGGAGCACACAAATCTGTCCCCATAGTTAAAAACAAACCATTCATGGCTAGCTACTGGCAGATGATTATAGTAAAAGGTGCAAGACAGACTGATAAGTCAGAAAGGTGAAAGAGATAAACATATGAGCAGGTGACAACTTGAAATCTGTAGTAAAAAGCATCAGCATGATGACAAGACGACTGATAAACTACACAAAAGAGTAGTTTGAGAAAGGTTTAATTTCAATGACCGACCTGAAGTTCTGGGGGGAGGTATCTGTAGACATCATAGATCTGATCCTTAAAACCTCTGGTCAACATCTCATCGGCTTCATCCTAATATGAAAGAATGTTACTACTTGTAGAACTTGGAGAAAACAAAAAAAAATGCAGTATGGCAACGGCAAACTAACCAGGACCAGGAGCTTGATGGCTCTTGTGCGCAAGGTCCTTCTCTTGATCATATCACATACTCTGCCCGGGGTTCCTGAAACAACATGCACTCCAGCCTCAAGCTTCCTAATATCCTCGCCGATACTTTTGCCACCGACACAGGCATGCACAGAGACACTCATGTAGTTCCCAACAGCTTGCATCACCCTCTCTGTTTGCGTGGCAAGTTCCCTAGTTGGTGACAGTATCAATGCTTGCACCCTGCAGAATCAAAGTTGTACCCAATATTAAGTTGAGCTTTCACTTTCTGAGCAAGTGCTATATTATACATTATCAAAGCTAGTGCCCCACAGAGGTAAACAATGGTGAATCGCACAGTAACACACTGGTAAAAGCATAAGAAAATAAATATGTGGTGGCGCTAGCACAGATGGGGAACCACAATGTTCGCCCATATACAAGGAAAGCCCAAAGCTATGCCAAGAGATATGCACATCCTTAAGAAAAGTAGCGACATCAGAAAAGCAAATCAAAGGAATTGATTGCGGAGAC